CACAGAATAACAGCAGTTTATTTGGAAGGGAAAAGATCATCTAGTTCCAACTCCCCTGCCATGGGTAGGGACACCTCCCACTAGACCAGGTTGCTTCAAGCCCCATCCAGCTTTCAGGGATGGGGTATCCACAGCTTTCTTGGGCAATCTGTGCCAGTGTCTCACCACCCTCACAGTAAAGGATGTCCTGCTAAGATCTAGCCTAAATCTACCCTCTTCTAGTTTGAAACCGTCCCTCCACCCCCTGTCCTATCACTGTAGCGGTTATAAAAAGGGCATGTGCTGGTTGAGGATGGGGCACCCAGACTGTCTGGGGAGAGCCCTCAGCTCCTGGCAGGGCACCCGCAGGGGTCCCAGGGCCCCAGTCTGCTGGGGACGGGGTCTGGGACGGGCTGCCCCCTCAGTCGCCGCTGCATGTCAGTGTTGCTCTGAAGAACGGCAGCGAGCCCTGACCGCGTCCTGCAGCTGCAGCCCCTGAGCTTTCCAGTGCCTTTTCTCGGGTGGTCACCACTGGAAACTCCTCGCCACACGCTTCATTGCGCCTGCAGGCTCGTGGCTAAACGTAAAGGTGCTGCTGGGCGCATCAGGACCAAAAGGGTGGACTTTTACTCGGGGGAGATGGGGCCATGGGTAGAGCTGTCCGGTCCCAAACCCCTTCCCAGGTTCATGGCTTTCTGGTGCTACCCCTTTCCCTCTCCATGCCCTGCTGCAGCAGAGACCTTCAAACCCTCATCCCCTCTCCCCGCACTTGTGGCCTTGCCCTGAAACCTGTCGTGCAGCAGCCGGCAGAGCTGCCAGAGCACGGGCACCTCCTGCTCTGCCACACAGGCTGCACCTCTGCTTTTATAGTCCTTTAATCAATTTCTTGCGTTATATCATACATTTCCCTTCTCATTAAAGCTTATCTAGCATCTGCCATGTGCTCGTTAATTGGTCAATTACTTTATTTATATGCTAAACGTTATGTAAAGTACCAGTCATTCCCGGCATCCTGGCTGTGGTTTGTGCTGTGCTTTTTTTTTTTTTTTTTTTTCGGTAGGCTTTTGCTGTTTTACCCTCACCATCCAGGCCAGGGGTGCTCTCATGGACGCCTGTTAACCCTTTGTGAACCAGTCACCAGCTCAGCCCCGTTCCTCAGCCCTGTGCAGTTCCCCACTCAGGACAGTTCTGTCATCACCTGCCATGTGTCCCAGCCCTTCCTCAAAGCCATTTCTCTTTGGCTTTGTTTTCTGCTGCTGCCTTCAGTCTTTCACTGATCCTTTCACATCGCCTAAAACTAGAAGACAGTAAGAAGGACCTGAAACCACAACAAAGCAGATGAGCTGTCTGCCAGGGCAGGCTAAGTGCCACCGCTCAGCCTGGTTTTGATCTGTGTCACTGCTACAAACTGGCTCCGTATTCACCTTTAGGTGTCAGTTCTGCCTGTTTGCTCAGAGGTCTTGACGGGCTTTTCCTGAGCTGGAATTGATGAGCTGCTGGCAAGCCTCTCGGGTTCCTTGGCTCTGCTCTTCCCTGTGCCATGCTCCATTGCTTCTGATGCTGCCTTTCCTGTTCCTCCTTCCTGTGTGATTACAAAGTGCTGTGGAGTGGGGTATTGTCCTTTTGCTCTTTTGTAAGATGTCTTGTCATCCTAAAATGGCATAGCCACCATAAATAATTTAGGGCTAACACTTCAATGTTAGAAACTGCAATAATTAAGTACTTGGGGCATGCACAAAGGTTTAATTAGCCTGACCTTTGTGTCAACCTGTGGACCTACCAACCTCTCCTCCCCCCATCAACCTGTCCATGCCACAGTATCCAGCAGAACCAGGTGTTTCCAGCAAGCTTTATCAGTGGCACTGAATCAGCTGCTACCTGTGGAGAGCCTGGCAGCTGGCACAGGGAGAGAGTTTGCAGTTTTGCTGGTTGTAAGGTGCCTATGGCAGCTCCTTTTCTGCAGCTCCTTGCTGGGTACTGGGTACCTGAAGCTGGGGGCAGCTGGAAGGCACTTTTATTGGTGGTGTGGCAGTGCTGCTGCCATGTAACAAACCAGCTTTGTTCCTCTTTTGGCAACCGATGAAATACAGGCAAGAAAGGCTGAGCACAGCTCCAGAGCTGTAGATTATTGGGGGGGTAGCGTGGAAAGAGTTTTTTTTAGTCAAACCTACCTCCCCACAGGGCACCGCACGGGATGGGGTGTCCTGTTATGGTGGGACACCACCCTAGGGCTGGGCAAGATGTGGCAGCCCATGGTGTGCTGCCAGCCGGGGGTGGCCCTGGTGCTCAGTGGCTTGCCAGGGTGTGGGCACTGCTGCTGGTGCAGGCACTGTCCTCCCTGATACCAGTTTTAGAGGTATTATGGTCTGAGTTAATATTACATTGAACTTTGTAACATCCATGAAAATATTATCTCTGTATTTAAATTCTTTAGTTTAATTGAATAGAGCTATCATTATCCGGAGCTTGTTTATCTATTGCTGCCTGCAAAATAGAGTCAATTTTCCAGACTGAGATGATGAATATGAGCACCAAAGAAATGTTGTAATTTAATTTTAATAACCATGACTTATTATTATTTTAATAACCATAAATAATAATTATTTTTTAAAAATGGTGTAGTGCTTTGCACAAAACCTTGGAAGGAAAACTATGTCATAATAATACAGTGTGGGGGGTGTTACAGCCCATTATTATTTATTTTGTTGTCAGCTGTGGTCTTTGCTGTGAGGAGGAGCTGCTATGTTAAGGTTTTTTGCTGTCACTGATGGCTCTGGAAACTGGATGAATTACTCTGAATTATTCCTTATATTTCCTTACATTATGTCCTCAAAAAGAGTCTAGAGGTAAAGTCACTTTGGGGTGTGTCAGAGCACTGTGTCCCGGGGGCTGTTGCACTCACCCTGCTGCCTTTGCTGCAGTATATGTTGCAAAGTCCAGGTTTTAGCCTGATGTGCCCTATCCCTCAGGCCCCAGCCTGGCCCGAGGATGGCTCCTGCACCTCATCCTCATGGCCATGGCTCCATGTGGGGCTTTGCCCACTCCAGTCCTATGTTGCTCCAGCCCTAATGGCCTTCACATCCAAGCAGCTCTCGGCCCTGGTGGGCAGCAGGCCCAGGAAGCCCTGCTTGCAGGGGCACATTTTGGCAGGTACATGGGGAAGGGAGCTGGTGCTCACAGTCGGTGCAGGGCTGCATGGTGCCATTAGTCAGAGGACATCCCAAATGGAGACAGGGAGGCTTTCCTGAACAAAGGGGCATCAGCAGGCAGGGACTCCCTTTGCCCTGGTGAAAAGATCAGCAGGCTCTTTATTTTTTTTTCTTTACAGTTTTATTTACAAAATGTATTAAAACTCTTTGTACAACACCTCATTAAAATGAGGCTCAGTAATTGATGCCCACACATGCAGTTTATGCTTTTACAGCCATTAGTTTGCTTGGCAATTTTTTCTGCTCACTGAAGTGCGGTTTCAACAACCAAAAATAGGAACTTAAATTACAAAAAAAACCAACCCCAACAAATGAACAAAAAACAAAAAAGGAGGGAAGAAGAAGAAAAGAGAGAGAACCCCAGAATCCCCCAGTGCAAACCAAACAAAAAAAAATACTGAAACAAGTAATCATGAGACTACTGCCGAACTTCCGATAGCTTGAAGTTGGTAGCTGGACTTGGTAAGCACTCGACACATTTTGTTTTAGATTTACATGCAAGTTTAAAAAATATGGAACCATTTACCAAACTCCCTTCACTGGTGTGAAGCCCCCACTCTTAAAAATTGATTTGATAAACATACATCTTTTATACAGCTTTTAAGAAAAATGTTTGTTTTAAATACAACTCATAACCGCACAGCTTGAGCTCGCCCGTGCTGGGGACGGGATGGTGTTCAGAAGTGGAAAAAAAAATAAATCACAGTTTCATGAAAAGAAAATGAAAACAAAACTTTTTTTTTTTTTTTGTCAATATCTTGTTAAAAACTCGAACAATAAATTATCCTCCTATGAGCTTTTAAAATTATTTTATATTACATTTTGTCAGAAATATTTTAACGACTTTTCCTCATATAATCTTTTTTTTTTTTTTAATTCTATTAAAAGTTCAAATCTATCATCAGCAAACTAAACGCCTAAGGGTCACTGGTTTAAATGAGTTCTTTTTTCATTGTATGTTACTGATGAAATAAAACTCTATAGTAAACTACAGAAAATACATATTGTCGATTAGAGGTAATTAGTATGCAGATATTCCATTGAACATTTCCCATGTGATTGACAATATGTTTAAAGTTTTTTTTTTCCTTTTCCTTTTTTTATTTTTTTATTATTCTTATTATTATTATTACTTAAAGATGAAATTAAGTAGTTTCCAGGCAGAGGTTCAAGGCTGCTGCTGTCTAAGACGTTGGATGTGAGCACTAGTGAGCCCCTACCTGTAGCAGTGTTGGCCGGAGCGCCAGGTTCTCTGCACTGAGAGGGCAAGGAGAGGAGCAACCTCTCTCCAGGAGCCATGAAGCAAGAGTTGGCAGGAGCTGATATAACAGTACTAGCAGGAGTCATGTTAAATCGCTTAATATTACCCTGGAACTGCAGCTCTAATTTGATTTACTACCCTCTTTCCTTACTTCTGTTTTAAAATGACCGAGAAGCATTAGCTGAGCACAGTGCTAGCTGGGAGAGAACTGGGGTGAAGCAGAAGCAGGACTGGGAAAAACCAACCTGCACTTCTCTTGCTTCATTGCTTGATATTAAACAGTGAATTAAAATGCAAATGCGCAGCAAGAAAAGAGATATATGGTCTGAACCTAAACAGCAAGTAGCTTTTCACTTTTTTTTTAAAAGCCACTTAGTGTCATTTTAATAAAGCACCTGTAGGTATGCCTGATGATAGAAAAAAAGGAATGCAATATTTTCTGCCCACACTTTAGCTACTTTGTCAATACATTAATTTACTGATCTGGAAGCAAGACATGCAGTTCCACAAATTACTTTCTTTTGGATTTACAGATTCACAGTTGTTGACCTTAACTGGTTTTGATGCACAGATTCATTTCTTCAGGTGTTACACCTTTTACTGCTATACAGAATTGCTCAAATTAGCTGGAGAGTTTAAAGTGGCTCGGAAAAAAAATAAATCACACCACTGGTAAGTAAATACTGAAACATCTCGACATAAGCTCATACAAGCAGTGACAGGCCAGTCTGTGTTCGCACGCAGCAGATTTCTGAGGCTTTGTGTCAGGAGGAGTTTCATAATTCAATACGATCTGGGTGGCTGATGAAACCGGCTGCGGTTTGCTTTCAGGACACAAGTTCATTTACTGTGCAGTGGTATCAAAGAATGGCTTTTGTTGCACTTTTTTTTTTACAATATTTTTTTTTCACATAAGACTATTTTGTTATCTGTCCTTTTCTTTTTTTCTTTTATTTTCCTTTCTCTTTCTTTTTTTTCTATTATTTTCTATTATTTTCCTTTCTTTTAATTTTCTTTTTTTTCCCCTTTTTCCTTTATCCTCTCTTTCTTTTACTTTTTTTTTTCTTCTTTTTCTTTTACTTTTTCTTATTTTTTCATTTTATTCTTTCAAACAAAGCAAGAATTTTTCGTTGATGGTTTGCATTGTTGTGAGTCTCAGTCTTCCATAAGGCACTGAAGGAAAAAAATAGCAGTTTTTCCTATTAAAAGTACATTGCACCATCATCATTGCGTGTCATGCCTGACACCTCAGAGAGAGAGTATGACTGGCTCAGGTGGTCCAAATCCATGAAGTGGCCACATTCTCTGCTGCTTCTCCTCTTGCGTGTTGTCAGGGTGAAGATCTATAATAAAACCAGAAAGATTTCATCACTGCCCAGCACTGAGGAGCAGGGAAGCTCAGTCAGGGGAGAGGCATAGTCTATGGGTGATGGGCTAGCCAAGCTTTTCCAGAGAAGTTTTTCAGCAATTCAATTCTACTTTTCATGCTTTAAAATTGTGATTTCTAGTGTAGACTTTTTTATTCTATTGAAGATTTTTTTTGAGACTTCGTAAAAGCACTTACCTGACCTGATTATAGCTTAAAAAACTAAAGGGGAAAGAGCTCACTAGCAAGAGAGATGTGAATTCTGACTAGTCATTTTAAAAGCAATTAACAAAATACTTTTATACGTACTGAACTCGCACAGTGCTGGAGAGAGGAGTTTTCCTCACTTCAGCATGCAGCCAGCTATCACTGTTTGTACTGCAGGATGATACTGAGGGAGGAAATATAAATCCCTTATACTCTGAGCCTGCTGCCAGATGATGTTTCACAAGCCCTTCTGCACCAGTCTGCTGGTGCACACAGCAGCATATCACAGAGAGCTTAAAAAAAAGGGAAAGCAAGAAACCCCAGAGGGTTTGAGCTCCTGGCCCGTCGCCGTACCCCTAGATTTTCACACTTTCTGTGCCGTACACGTTGTAGCCTTCTCTGTATGTAGCGTAATTCTGGGTGTTGGTGGCAGGGGCGGGTTTGAAGTTCTGTGTATTCTTGGTGAGTTTCATTCGCTTGGACTCAGCCCGAGACTTGTAGCAGAACTCGATCAGTGCCACCATCATGGCCAGCCCGAGGCCTCCGACGAGGATATAGAAAACCCCGGCGACATTGCTCAGGCTCAGAGCGCTTGTCTTGTCCTAAGAGAAACGAGCCCTGCCGTTAGCTTTGCTGTGAGAAGCAGACAGACAGACAACAGGCTACTTTGCACTTAGTCCTAGCTGGACTAACTACACTCACAGCGTTTACAGTGTCCCATCTCCTGGACCAGTGCAGCCCCCCCATCCCGAGCAGCCCAGGGCTGCACAGCAGTGACTTCTCCATCTCCCCTGCCCTTTGGTGGGCAAAACCCTGGCTGACTTGCTGGTGACAAAATTATTTTGGCCACTGACTTCCCCAGGCCTTTGGCCTCCCAGAGCAAACCTGTCTATGGCCGAGCATCTCTGGTGGCCAAGGCACATTGGGGAAGGTCTAATGGGGGAAGCAGTAGCTGCATAAAATAGTGGGTTTTACAGAAGGCCACAACAAAAATAGAAAAAGAAAAACCCAAACCACTACACACTTGGTTTTGGTGAATGTAGGTAAAATTATTGAGATGCTGCTAAACTTAGCTACCTTTTTATTCAACACCTAGGGAAAAAAAAACACAACACAACAAAACATACCCTAGGAAGATGGTCAGTTACTTTAAGGTCAAGCATAAGAGCCCTAAGCTAAACTAGTACCTTTGGTGACTGAGATGGACTGAGCTCCTGAATAAAAACAGTCATGTTAACACAAAAAGTGCTGCCCAGGGCTTACTTTCCTTCAATACATGTCAGATGGGGGAGAAGGCTTGCATTTTTAAAACCAGGACTCCGTAATCAGATTAGAGCTGCAACCCTTTTGCTGCTGCGCAGGCTGGCCAGCTGGGTGCAGGGATGGGTGCAGGGATGGAGAAATAGATGGACAGACAGCTGTCAGGCTGTCAGCCCACACTACAGATGGATGAGGGGGAAACCAGGGCAACCTGCATCAAGGGGCTGTGCCTGGGAAAGACACTTGCTGACAGAGCTTGGTTTTCAAGTATCTTCAGGGCCATCAAAACTTTAGAATATAGTCAAAATAAAACAGATCTACCTTGTTTCTGTGCATTTCACAAGCAGACTGGATAGGTGCAGTTGTACCAAGCAGCCTGCCATTTAAACTAAAGATACTACTCATTTACACCTCTTTTCAATTACACTTTCCTTCTGCAGCTGCTGTGCATTCAGATGTCCCATGATCCCAAATTAACCTCAAGAGCTACAGGGTTGTGCCCTAAGCAACTTCCAGTCCAGCTGAAATCAATGAATATTTATTACTGGGTTGGATGGAACTGAAATGGTCCTCCAACACTGAGAGGGTGCTTCCAAATTATAGTTTTCTGTTTGAATGATTACAGAGCACTTCCAAAGGCAGCAGGGGAGTTGGGCACTTAACTGCGACTGATTTCAGCTGGAGCTGGATTTCTCCTCCTCCTGATGACTTTGAAAATGTCCTTGACTCCAACAACTCCAGCACTTCTACTCAATGGCTGTATAAGCATTGGAAAAAAAATAATTTAAAAAATCCTTTTCTTTTAACTGAATGGAGTAAATAAATATTCCCTGCAATTTCAGTGTGCAGCTGTTGGGTTGATCCACCTGTCAGCTCAGGGGTGGGATCTCCAGTTGCATCTACAGCAGTCCTGCATGAGGAGCTGCAGGAGGCCAGCTGACCCTGTAGCATGGCTGGTGTGGGACAGGGCAGTACAGCAGCAAAATGGTTCAAAGCAGAATAAAAAATAATATAAAATATTTATGTAATGAGTTACCAATAGTATTTCTAGGTATTTTTTTTAATTAAGCCAATTTCAAACTGAATTGAGGAAGTAGGGCAGAAGGGCCTTTTTTCCTTATCAGAAGTCTGTCCTGAAATTGTCCACCCTTAGCAAGCATGTGACTGTTTCCCAAACTGACATGTAAAGAATCTAAGTCACACTTTTGAAACAAAAATGTGTTTCAATAAAACGAAATAAGAAAAGATGCTGGCCTGAATAATACACATTGACTGTGCTGAAATTTGCACATACAAATGAAGATATAAGCTTAGGAGGCTTTGGGGGCTTCTCTTTCCACATTTCTCTAGCAGAATACTGAAATAGTAAAACATACTTACAACTACAGTCTGTTACTGCATAAAAGAAAAATGCTGTCACGTTCAGAGACTTAATTATTTTTTGCTATTCTTTTCTTTCAACCTTTGAAATGTAAATACCAACTCGTGAAAGTCATTCTTTGTATAAACAGACAGTGGGTCAAAATGTGATTGCTAATCAGTACAAAAAGACCTTCAGCGACTGACCTTACTTCCGGAGTCCTTGGCTCCACATTCACCCTTATCGTACCACCATTTGTTTTTCAGCTTGTCTAAGATGCCTTGTTCACTGAGTTTCAATACTGCAAGGTTTACAGGAGTTCTTCACGTGGGAAATAACATAAATAACATTATATTATGTTATTTTATGTTATTCAATCTTTAAACTATTTTAAAACTATACAAAGCGATAAAGCAGGGTTCCTGGCCACAAAGTATTTACACTGCAGGCAACTGGATCATCCCCTTAAGTTAACTCTAGAGCAACTCTATATTACCAGGTCCTGCCCATATCGCTTTGAGTAATCGGCACTCACTGTTAAATGAAGGCAGTAGAAACAAAGCAAGTCCAATTCCCCACTTTGGTACCGTATCACAGGCATTCACAGTAGCTTTAGGGATTAAGGTGGGTTTGATCTAGCAGGACTCCTTGTATTGCACTAACAGACAGCAAAGCCCCACAAATCAGTAGTCTGGCTTCTTACAGTGAAGCAGTGCTTGTAGCTCCTGCACCTGGGACCTTAATTACATGATGGCATTTAAGGAAATGTCCACAGGCCAGGAGGTGTCACAATCCTTGAGCAGCAGGAGTGGCAGAGCCCTGATGTGCCTGAGACAGGGAGATACTGGAAAAGGAAGCTGGTAAAGAAAAGCTGCCTCTGAGATGGCCATCAGACCTGTCAGTGGCTGGTATTAGAAAGTGCTGCCCTGAGAGGTGCCACATGCTCTTCAGGAGCAGAGTGGGCACCTCTCAGGGCTACCCTGGGCACTGGCAGCCCATGGAGTGGGGGACAGGCTGCAGTTGACTGAGCCTGGGCAGTTCATGGGGAGTCCATGAGCAAAATACACATGTTGAAGAGCTCCTGAGCTAAATGCCCATGGGCTGCACCAGTGTGATCCAATGTGGTGATACCCAGGCCAGCAGGGAGGGTAAAAACAGGGAAAAGCCATTGACGTGGGGAGAAACACTAGTCCCTGGTCCCAGTGGCAGCGATGCCAGCAGAGCTTCCTGGCTGGCCAGGCAGAGGCTGCACCACTGCTCCTGCTCCACATGGGACTTGACACCAGCAATTTTTTTTTTTTTTTTAGTGTAAAATGGCTATTTTTAAGCAGCAGCTGTAATCTAATTAAGTATCAATCAGGGAAGGCTGTATGCACTCAGCTGGACACAGCTGACGGGCGGCAGTGACAAGGCTCACGGGACAGGACGTGTTTGCTGGCTTGGCTCTGGCAGCAGGCACATAGCCTTCCACCAGGAGCTGGAGGCATCATAAAAAGCCAGCTGCACCACAGCTATGTTTGCATCCACCTATAAAATACCAACAGGCTCAAAGCACACTCCACAGACACTGCCAATGCCCTAGGTGCTGCAGGTAATATACCTGCCCTGTCGGTTGATGCCAACAGGGACTGGCCAGGTCCTGACCATGCCACCCCTATGGACCCTCCTGGGCAGCTGTGTTGGGATGAGGCCCCTGGTGACACCTGGGCAAATACATTAAAAGAAGCAGTGCATGATCAATGAGAGTCAGTGAAAGCTGAGTGCCCATACCCACCCAACTACAAGCTCCAGCAGAAAGAGTAGTGTGGATTATTGCTCAGGGAACAGTGCTCTCATTTTAAATTTCATTTAAAAACCATCCACTTTGGAGAGATTTTATGCTATACATCTCTCTGCTTTGAAAAGAATTGTGCAGCTGAGAATACACAAACAATAGGGAGAAGGTTATAAACACCTTTTCTCCTATCTGCATATTTTATTGTGCAAATTTTCCCCTCCCCCCAGTCCTATTCCAAACACTATTTTTAATTTGCATGCCTTTATAAACCCCATATGGAGTAGAGAGAATTTGCATAACATCCAATACATTATAGATTAGCTTTCACAACATTATACAGTATTGGGAAATGAGGAAGCTTACCATGCTAATTAGGGTGCTTTATTTTTTTTTTTTTTAAGGCAAGATTGCAGTTAATTGTGCAAATGCAACTGCCAAAGAAAAAAAAAATCGTAAACTAAAATTATCTTAACTAAACAGATGGGAATTTGCCTAAACTGGGGCTTTCACTAGAGTTTGTCATGGCCCTCTTTGTCAGGTGAGGTACAGCAGTACCTCAGCCTGGGTGGGAATGAGTTGGTTTGCTCCATCTGTCTGCATGGGCTGGAGGAGCAGAGCTGGAGCCTTCAGGCCAAGGAGCCTTCAGGTCCCCTGAGCTTTTGCTCGTGGAGCCATCCCCATGCTGAGGTGCTCGCGTGCCAGGGGCTGAAAGCCATCCTGCCTGGCATGGCAGCTGGCTGTGGGACCAGGGCTAGATGGGCAGATTGTGCAAAGAGGGACTGGGGGAGGAAAGCCTGAGATGAAGCTGGAGTGGGCACTTGTCCTGCCCTGCCTTAGCCTGTTCTGTCTCCGCAGCACACAGATGACCTGGAGGTTTTGCCTCAGCAAGCTCCTGGCCTCCCTTGGTTCCACTATTGTGCTGCCTGGGTACTAGGATGAACAGTGTGTACCTTAGAAGCAGAAGAACCAAGGGACTAAATGACCTGCTGAGGTCCCAGGAGAAGACTGTGTCCTAGCCACATACCTGCCTCTCTGGCCTGTTTGCACCATCCCAAAAATGGCTCAGAGGATCATTTGCTCAGTTTCTGGGTCTCTTTTAAAGATTTCCATTTCCTTATCTTTTTCCTGGAATAATTTTGTGCTTTCCAGCTGTTTTTTTAAATTAGGTTGCTGTTGTTGGGCCGTATGGGGTATCCTATGAGGTC